GGGAACGTTCCCCTAAATTTTCAGCTTCCTAACTTTTGTGGTTCCCGAGTTGAAAGTTGCGGACAATTTGCTGCGGACACACACACACACAGACAACCCCGTAATAATATGCGTTTTGTACTGCTGTTACACAGCAAAAAACGCATAAAAATGAAATTTTAGCCGAATGTTTGAGAGGCATACTTTTTCAAGCAGTACTGGATATTTTGTGAGCCTTTGAGCAATCAAAAGTAAGCACATCTTGAACGTTCGTCCTTTATAGATCACATCGTGCTCGTACTGCTGAAAATTACAGCATTCGATGAACAGTTTGTCCATGAAACCACTCAATCATCTGCATATAATCGAAAGCGATGCAGTGCTTTCATACAACGAAATTGAATGATATCCAAATCAAACATCAACTAATTCTTCTTTTTTTTAAAAAACTATCCTTTTTCGGTAAAAAAAAAAAAACTGTCCTTTTCAAAAAAAATTTCTTTTTTGAAAAAAACCGTCCTTTTCAAATGTCAAATTTTATTCAATACTCTTCAACACGCACATAATTTTAACGGTGCGCCAAAAATTTGCTTGTTAAAAAGGGCTTATAAAGCAAACAGTTCAGTTCCAAACAGCTCATAAAGCTTCACTGTATTTTCTTGTTCTGATGTGTACGCGTCTCTACCACAAGGGTATCCTCATCTCATCCAATTTCCCAAAAAATCGCTCAAGTTTCGCCGTTTTTATTCGTTTTTCAATTATATTTAGTCAATGTCATTAAAAAGTAAGTGACTGTTAACAATAAAACGAACGCTACCAAACATAAAAAAATTTAATTATCGAAAATTTAATTACTGTCTTGCGCCACATCATCTTGTAAATCGCATAAAATTCTGGCAAATTTCAAGCAAACTTGAAATAAAACAGTCAAACAGCACATACACACACATACATACACACACACATACAAACATACATACATACATAGCACGCCCCCTTTAAATTCTATGAAGGCTTACATCAAAAAATTTTCTAATTTCGGTGTTTTTGATCCTCCACTCATCGTACAAGCGACCACACCGATCGTATTTTGAGCAGAATTCGGTATATGCGTGTACGGCAGCCCTATTGCGGCCACCATTATCAAACTGAAAAAAGGCAAAAAACTTCCAAATAACACATAAAACTGTAGAAATTCCTAACCAAACTCCGAAGGTGGATGATTTTTTCGATAGAATTAATATTATTTACCACACGAAAAATTTTTTCTTCAATTTTTCCTTTACAAAACTCCTCTTCCTATGCTTTCGCTTCCTCTTCCTTCTGCAGATGAATCTAACATTTCTCACATAACTAATTTGGTTCTGAAACCCCTAGTACGCAAAATTGGAGCCCGATCGAGAAGAAAATCACTTTCGGCAATTTTTTTGTGAAAAAATATAAAAGAAGTTTTTAGTATTTTTTTGGTCTTTTTTGTTGTCGATGTTAAAAAGAGAGGGCTCCCTCCACCTGCTTGATGCAAGAGGAACAGATTGTGCTTATGAAATAGGTTATGTTTTGAGAAATTAAAAAAAAAAGTCTGAAATGCACCACGAATTCGCTGTAATTATTCCAAACGGATTGCGTACAAGCAGTGCTTACCTCAGAGAATACAATGTCTGATATCGAATCCACAACAGCGGCTTCTTTTCTTTTTTGACGCAATCGTCGCAGAAAGTTGATATGGAAATCAAGCAGCGCATCCAGTACTGGTGGAATTAGTTCGTCTCGTCTTTCTTCTTCCAGGATACCTTTTACTCGCAGGCCTTCTTGATACACCTGAATGCAGTGGATGCGCAATGATTTTTTGCTCACCTCATGGATTTTTGCTCACCCTGCTTTTGCTCACTTCATGGAACTTATTCGCTCTCAGCTTTACCTAAGCATCAGTTTCACAAATGGGAAAGTCTGATGACGGGTTTTTACGGAACAACTTTACCTAAGTATCAATTTCACAAATAGGAAAGTTCCCTACTCCCTACTTTATGGGTCAGCTTCCATTAGCAAGACCACAGTTTTTCTTTTGTTTTTATTCCTAAAGTCAGATTTGCTTTAATTTACTTTTATTTGTGTGTACAGTGTTGTCTTTTTCTCTTTACTGCTGTCTATTTCACAAACTACCCTACTTCAACACCATATTTCTCACTCGCTAAAAAAAATGAGGAGAATATAAAGGAACGGAAAAGATATCTATCTACCAAAATCGACAGTAGAAAGGAGGACACAGAAATAACGAAGTAGCTTACTTGCTGAAGAATGACCAGCACTTGGCAGTGATGCTTCTCAGTCAAATAGAGTTCTGAAAAATTTAAAAAATAACAAAGTTTAAGAAGTAATTAAAATAAGATAAAACAATATTTTAAATCGAAATTTTGATGGTTTATAATTATGAAGGACTGTAAAAAGATAAAAAAGGGGAATGTGAATAAGTTAAGATTAAAATCTGAATTGGAATATTTCGGTCTATCAAGTTGCATACATTCCTGTTCATTTCCGCATTTGCAATCCTCCTCCACTCAACTTGCAGAAATCAAAGTTTTTCAGATGCTTGGTCTGACGGCAGAAAATATCAGAATGAAATGAGGCAAAAATGCACCATCGAATCACCGTACAAAAAAGGTTTTTAATACATTATTCATGCAGCGCACCGCAGTCCACACATTTACTCGTCATTCACACAAATGTAAGATTTTTCTCATGTTCGGCGTGCCTCGCCTAGCGATGGCGAATCGCGCCCTGACGAGGAGCTCCTCGCGGCCCGCTTGTACTCTCCTGATGCTGTCCCTTCTCGGCTGAGCTGCACGGGAACACCGATAACACGATGAAGGCTTTGTTGACAAACTGACGAACAATAGAAAGAAGAATGAATAAATCCCTGATCAGACACACACACACACGCACACACGCACACACACAAACACACACATTTATATACAAGATTTTAGCGCGTAGAAATCAACACTAATCACCGGGAAATGGCAGAACACCAAGTCAAACGACCTTCCCGAAATTGCTCGTCAAATCCGTGCGCCATCGGATATCCCGCTTTGCCCAACATTTAGACTGCTCGCGGGATTTTCAGACTCATGACCAGGATTAGGGGAATATTACGGAGAACACTTTTTTGTCAATGTTCAAGACTCCCGCGCTGCATGAAGAAGTCTTTTATGCCTAATTTCATAACCTGTGGGAAGTAAACAAACAAACTTCATAACTCCAGTGGAAAGAAGCACAAGCTGTAAACTCTGCAGAACTCGCGAAACTAACCATATATAATATCTTGTTTTTTCCTCTCCTTCTTACTCAGCTTGACGGAATGATTACAAGAGGACCATGTTGGCGGTTCTTCCTCCCACAAATCCAAATCGGCCCATCTCGACTTGTTGCTAAAATGACCAGTGCTTTCAAAGCTAGGTACTTTCAGAGGCAAAAAACACTAGGCATAGTAGTGCATGTCGCAAAATAAACTGTCGGAATTTTATCCGCCCTATGTAAAAAAAATACGTTTTTGTGTATATTACTCTTATGGCAAAACAAGATATGCAGGCATCAGCTCTGTAGTTTAAACAGGACACTTTTTTAAAGAGTCGTCCTCCCTTCCGCCCCCCAACCCCTTCCATCGAATCCCACCCCCTCCGGCCTTAGCTCCTCCCCCATCTCCAGTTCCTGACCTGAAGAATCTAACTCCCTATACCCCTATAAAGAAGAATCTTTTTTTTAAAACAGATTAGCAGATCAACTTTTGACTACGACCCTCAAACCCTACTAAAACATGTTGGGCGCTCGAACAGAATTTGACGTAAGACTCTTGAAACTAGCCTCTGTTCAGTGTTTCGACACTTCAGCTCCAACAAGTGCAGTAACAAACGGGAAAACAGCTCTCATTCCGCGCTTACAGTTAATTATATGTAACTACCAGGGAAAAAACACAAAAAATTAAACTACGGAAAGACTAATTTGTTGAAGAGAAAGCAAAATAAAAAACAAATGAATGTAGCCCAAAATGTAAGTTGCCAAAGAAATAAAATGCTGTTTTCTAGATGCATACATACATACATTTGAGGAATGAATTGCTGTGGATCCCTCGGCAGATGAGCGGCCAGAAAGCGACCATCGGCCACACCAATCGTATTTGGTGTTTTCTCCAGCAGCGCCTTCGCAAGTGTGTCTTGGAACTCTGAAGTGGCGAC